AACACCTGGGTCAAGAGAAGCACTTTGATAGTAAAGTGTAAGGCGAACCACAAACACAAGAGCCTACTCGCAGGCTAAACAGGTGGCCTAGCCTTCAGTGCAGGCGTCTTATTGGGGCAAGTTAACGTTTTTAGCTCGTAGTCGTTTATCCGATCGCCATGTTTGATTTGGAGTCAGAGTAGACGTTGCGGGTAGGGGGCGGGGGAAGGGCGAGAGGACTCCCCCCACCTCAGCCCCCTCCCTATTTTTTACCCTCATTCACCCCCTTAGTACAAATTACTTTCTCTCCCAGCCATCCGCTGCCATTAAAATCAAAGACGGCGGCCACATTTCGCTAAGAAGTTACTGAGCACTCGCTCGCTTACATGAATGATTCAAACATATGAACTAGTCAAGTTTCATGTGTACCCCAACAGAAACAGTATGGAAATGGTAAATCTGGTCTTAGAAAACAGTAGCGGAAACATTATGGAAGTGGTAACACCTGGTCTGAAGAAACAGTTACGTGCAGACACGAACATACTAAAATGTTGAAGAACTGCCACGGAGGCATCTCTATTTAATGATTCCTTCAGTTAAGATCATGAGTCAGTGGATTACTTGAACAGCTTGTGTTGTGTTGTCTGTTTTGCAGTCTCGTGCATTTTATGCCGTTGATTTGATGCTCAAATGGGCGGACGATGGTAAGTTCGTAACAGATATTTTTTTAGATCAGCTAGCCAATTTTGCGAACACAGTTAATAAATTAACCAGAAGGATAGGTAACACTTCCCTGTCAAAGCAGATTGGTTTAAGGGACACACTCGTACATTTGCGTCTTCCTTTTCCTTTTACATTTTCTCTTTGCTTAGATAGTTCTTGCTGCTAAAAGGGGCCAAATTGAACCAGTTGGAAAACGCAAGTTGCAAGGCCAAAATCGGAATCTGTCCCTAATTTGGTGAAGTCCTCCTAAGGAAGACTGAGTATTGTGTGTGAAACGCTATTTATAGATCCTTCTTTTTTCCTCCCCTTCTTTTCAGGCTCAAACGAAATAGTACCTCAAGTTTTGGAGGTAAACTACGTCCCAGACTGTGAGCGAGCTTGTCAATATCATCCGAATTTCTTTAACTTTATTTTTAGTTTGCTGTTTCTCGGAGATTCAAATGGATGGCCTGTTGAAAAGTTATCAGGCTGAAATCCCTTATTCTTTCTTACATCGCCATGAGCGTTTTAATATAATGTGTTCAAAGTCTTGTGAAACCATTCTCGTTCTTTTTGATAGTTTGAAGACAGTAAAAATGTAAGGAATACTTGACAGCGTTGTTACGTGTCACTGCAGACAACAATCTATTTATTGTACATTACGGCAAAAAAACCCAATAAAATAAACTCGTAAATGCACCGGAAAAAGGGAGGTTTTTATTTCTGAGTTCCAAATTACGTATTCTGTTACCTAAATACCCTTAATTTCAACCTTTACCACCACCTTTTTAATGTATAATTTTCTGTCAGCAGTAGTCTTCAATCCATTGTGCCTTTTCCTTGCTCTGTTAAAGGAGAAAAAGTAATCGAAAACTAGTATTTAATAACTCGGATGAAAATGCCCTGTAGGCAAATGCCCTCAACTCGCATTGCAGCAGGTTCATATATTGTTACCACCACTGTGCGGATATTTGCGGCATTTTGAACCACGGCCAGTTCGCAACCCATTTTCTTGTGGGACTTCCACATCAACCAGAAAAAGAAAAAGGTAAAGTCTGTTTACGAGCCTAGTGGCCCCTTAGGCCGGTGCTTAACTCCGGTTTCTGTAGCATGAAGCGACTAGGAGTATTTCTACTCCCCCCTGGATGGGATGCCAGTCCATCGCAGGGTTACCCCCAGCATTAAATGGCCGGTACCCATTTATACACCTGGGTGAAGAGAGGCACTGTGAGAGTAAAGTGCCTTGCCTAAGAACACAACACAATGTCCCGGCCGGGGCTCGAACCCGGACCACTCGATCTGGAGTCGAATGCACTAACCATGAGGCCACCGCGCCTCCACAGAATATCTCTTAGGGTGACCTCAACCAATTTCAGCCTTCTTAACCTCCCATAGGGTACTAATCAACACTTGTTGTCTGGGGGGAGGGGGGTCAGGAGTTGAGGTTGGGGGAGGATGTTGTTTGATGCCAGGAAGGCTAATTTACATTAATAGAATAACAACTAACCCTGCCATTTATGAAGGATATCTATGTCTTATGGAGATTTTCAAATTGTAACTATGACTTAGGCTGTATCTTGATGTCTATAATTCATATCACATAAATAGCTCTGGCAGTTTTCACCCATTTGAGAATAAAATTCTTGGAAATTGTGTGTAAGAGTCGGAGACATAGGTCTAATCTATTTTTGCCCACCTAGTGCATCCAACATTTGAATTTAAGCTTAGGGCAGATTTAATTTGTCATTTCCACAAATACTGAACACCTCCCAAATAACAGAGTCTCAGACATAGGTCTAATCTGTTTTTTTTCCCCTGCATTCAACATGTGAATTTAAGCTTAGAGCAGATTTAATTTGTGATTTCCACAAATAGTGAACACATGCCAAATGACCGTTAAATGAACACTTGTGAAAATATTGAAAAAAGTAAGGATGCCATTTGTCTCCTATTTTACCTGGTTTTTCCTGGTCTCATACAGTTCACCTTTGACACCAGCCTTAACAGAGATCTCTATCACAAATACATCTGCTACGTACATATATCGCCCCTCTCTTCTTACTCTTAGTGTTGGCTGATAAATTACGGGTACAAATTTCACCCTATGCAAAGATTCAAGGATAGTTGAATTACTTTTTCTAAGATATATATACATCATTCTATAGTTATATATTTTTGTAATTAAATTCATTGTCTTTTTTAACTAATATAATTATATCATATACAAATTACTCAGATTGTGATAATTTTTTTTTGAAGTTTCAAGCTCACATCTAGACACATGAAAATATTTCAGAAAATATTTAAAATTGCCACTTATACATTTTACATCTCTCACTAGTACATGTTTGTACTCAATCCTACACACCCTTTTCTCAACTTTCATGACAAGAAAGTGTTCAATGATAAATGAATAAATGTTCTGATAAAAGACTCAGCTAAATTGAGGATTCTTTAGGACACAGTTTTGTTGAACAATGGCTAAACCTTTTTAAATAATCAGACCAAAGTTTCTATTTATTATTATTTCTCTATTTTTATTATATTTACTTGGCTGGTTCTATAATAACTACTTACTTGTATAAAGAATGATCCACACAAGGAATAAACTTCTCAAATTCTTGCCTGATAGTTGCCCTGATATTAGTTTGCATTCTTGGTGGGCAATGAACACCACGGACAGTACCTGATAAAGAATGATGAAAACCACAGGTGGTTCACAAATGAAAAATGTCCATAGGATGAAAAAAAAATTGAAATTGAACTTTGAAGACCATTAATATCAGGTTTCAAAGCCAGCTTTCTGGATGAGCTTCTTGGTCTGTACAGAAAATTTTTGCCATTGAAAACATTATGCATCTCAATGATCATCTAATGATCACAAAACCCAGGTAGTTTAAATAGTTTATAATATATTGCATTTTTTACTGAATAAGTGCACATATATCTGAAGCCAGCTCATGCATTTCCTTCAACAGGATACTGATCCTTTCATTTCAAAAACCGTTTTCCTCCTTCCACAAGGGACATATATGCCTCTTACCATTGTCAAGGACTCCTGCAATAAGTACACCACCATCTGTGTTCAAAAAAGCACTTCCATACTTCTGAATATGCTGTGAGTTAAAACCAAATGTATACCAATTTAACAAGGTATAAGCCACAGTGGTCTAGTGGGACTGTGAATGTCATAATTAATAGTCACAGAGTAACTAAACCAAAAATAAACAAATAAACAAACAATTATCAAAATAAACTTTAGCTGGTCTTGCATCAAACCTCTCTTATAGGAAAAATATTCTCACCTCCAGAAAGACAGAGGGGACAGAAGTCCTCCTGATTAATAGCTTTGGCCCCCTCTTTACATTTTACTACTCTTTGATATGCAAAACTATGGGTGAGCCAAGAGTGGGTATTATAAATGATTTTTTATGGTTTTACCTCTGGTAAAATTGTAATTGGGTAGCTTCCACCCCCTGTTTTAAACTCATGATGATGGCTCTCTGTCACACTGATGGTGCTGTCTAAAACATAGTAAGAATGGTTCCTGAGGGAGAAAAAGGTTACACTGATTTCATTTCTAGGTAAATTTTCAACTTAATAAAACTATGAAATAAAATGTCAGTGTCAGAATATTCCACTCAGTTTTCTTTTTTTAGACACTATTTTCAAGTGTTATTTCAAGCTCTATTTTGAGAACAGCAGGCTCTACGCAGAACCCTTTTAAAGTTACCATTTGGTGACCTTAAACAATTTAGTGGGTGGCAGAAAAGCAGTTTTTGTCTAGCTAGAAAAAAATAAAAAACATTAAAAAAGAGAATGAAAGGGCAGTTAGCCCTTGCCAATTCAACTTCAATTAGCCCAATTTTACTTCAATAGATGGCAGTCAGCAGCTCAGCCAGGGCTTCATTAGACCACTCAATTTAGGGTCCATTTCCTATGGCTGACCACATGAAGATGGCTCCCTATCAAGAGGTTAAGCATTTTCAGGCCTAAGGTATAACTTGTGACATAGTGAAGGGTAAAGCAAATAAAGCTATCTCAAAGAGGGTCTCATGGGATCCATATTTTTAGCCTTATTTGATAAGAATAATGTTGATGAGAGAATTGCTAACTTTGTTTTTACTTTGACATCAGATCCTTAATCAGATGGATCATCTTTGTCATTGGACAGGTCATCGATCTGTCTACACCTCATGATAAGGCAGGGGTAAAGAAACTAGGATTGGCTCTAACCAGAGAGTTTCATCAGGTCTGTGGGACTGGACCTGCCTCATTACATACAAATACCTAGCTTACATACCGCCATTCAAGCGATGATGTTGCAGCACTGAATGGAACTGCTGGTGTCATAATATATCTTGCGGACCTCAGTGGGCCAGCAGGTGTTGTGAATAGGATTGACTTTACATCCTGTGAATATGTTCGTGACGTCAGTGCCTTCAGAGCCACATTCAACTTCTGTTTCACTGTGTTCCCGACTTTCCTCACAAGTGAAACAACAGTTCTCAGCTTTTTAGGCTCACTTTCTGCATCGATGCGCTCCTGGTCGTTGGAATTTCGTTTGCGTTTAAGGAAGTTCATAGTGTCTGTCAAAAACATAAAGATATTTGTTGACCCTTGGTTTTCAAAAGGATCGATCCATCAATCAAGAAATGACACGAAGGTTCTTTTTAGGAAACCTGAATCGGCGCTGGCGTCCGTTTGACCGATGATAAGTGAAAGATTGAGAATCTCGACCGATCACATCCGGTGTCGCATTTTAATAACTATATATATAAGCATATCTACAAATGATTCAACTCCCCTATACTTTTTGGGCATCTTTACTTGGAATGAATGACATATATTAAATGTACCAACTTACCTCTTACTCATTTGAAAATCCCGCTCGTCAAGAGACTGGTGCGAGTATATCTTCATCTCCAGGGAGTTCTCCAGGGATTATTTATCGGTCCATGCGATCGGTGTTCGGCTTGCGGTGGGGGATCATGAAATCGAGGTCGCCCCAATCTTAACGCTCGGAAGCGCTGGGAGGAAATGTTGTTGTGAACTGCTAAAGAAAGCACGTTAAAAGTGTTATTTCTAGATTTTCTCGAACTTAAGAAAATTAGGTTTTTATAATTTTGCAGGGGAATTCATGAGTTTTTAGACGATGAAGAGGAGTTACGATTGATTTTGACAGCAATTTATAACCCACGGCACCCGGAAGGTTTTCTCATTAATTGGAACTAACTCATCCACGGATTTCTGGCTCGACAACGCTTTAGTTTGTAAGTGATTTATGCCTAAAGTTTATTCTTGAATACATCCTTAACTTCTTTTTTCTTCAGAGTTGTGCTTAACTAGTTGAGAACTTAGCAGAGAACTTGAACTTCTTTGCTCAGGAGTCTCTGTGCGTGCATATATCGTGATGGAATATTGGAATATTGGGCAAGATTTCCATATAACCCGATGTATTAATTATGCATAGAGTGGTTGCGGTCACATCTACGACGTAACTAAAGTTCAACTTAACCTAGTGTCAAGTTATTTCGGTCGACTTTGCGGTCACACCACGCAGTTAACCACAGTTAGTTCTAATTAGCCTATAGGTGGTTTGCAACTAATCTCTAGAGACACGGGTAACAATGGTGAAAGGAACAAATGCTGGTGGACGAAGAAAAGAAGCTAATGAGATATCTATTGTTTTCGTCCACCAACATGGCGGCGATGACGTAACTGTGCAAACCGCCAATGCTTGACGTCAGAGTTAAAAGAGGTTCGCGACGGCCCTTATTGTTGATCCGTGAAATGTTGACATGGTTGACTGACGTAAAGTTTGTCTTCTTATTTCTTTTTTTCTGAGCTGCAAACCATCTGGAATTCATTGCAGCAAATACAAGGACAGCTGCACACAAGCTTGAAGGCTTCATGTGTTGCTACCTTGTTGTATGTAAATTTTTTGTTTGTTGTTTTTGGTTCTCCCCTTGCTTCATACTTGGTTTTTATTTTGCATATTTATGTGTGCTCATCTTGCATGTGTGAAAAGAACTGTCACATTCTAATTGGTTGCACCAAGTAGGGGACTAGGTATCCTATTGTTCTTCCACCTGTACAAAGTACAAATCTTTAGAAACAGTTGTTTGTTTTTAAACTTAAGACTAACTTATGAACCTTGCTTGGGTATAACTATAGTTAGTCTTTATTGTTTTGGATCACCAAGGCATAGATTTTCTAACTATAATTAGAGTGAACAGAAAAGTGGTCACATAGCCAAATTAGCTTACTATAGTCATCCTCTTCTTAACTATAGTTAGTAGCCCAGCTGTGACCACGGCCAGTGTTGTAAAGAAACCTTTATATTTAGTCTCTATGAAAAGGAATGCATAATTTATGTAGGGGGTTGTATGGAAATCTTTCTGTTCTTGGTGAACTGGACAATGTCTTGCATCAAATCACAAACTTAACTTTGAAACAAATTATTGTAAATTTCTTGTCAAACTATGTTGGGAAGTTGCGAAGTTTGTTTTGATGACAAAAGTTCATGTTGTTTGGTATTCATTTGGTTTTGTAATTTATCAAACATTCACAGTGCAAGGGAAAACATTCCCAAGCTAAATGGAAGCACATTGTTTTCTTGGCAACAGTGATTGAAATACAAATAACAGTGATATTTATCAAGATGGACTCTGATGTCTGCAAGCCAGCTGACCCTTGTAAACCATATTTTTCTTGCAAATAAGATATATTAAAGTTCACTCAGCAAACAGGAGATTTTCAGACACGATTTGATGCTATACTCTGGTTTAAAGATTTAATGTGTTCAACCAGGGAAATTACAAGTCATCAAGCCAACGTTTCAACACTCTTGTCCAGTGCCTTTATCAGGGGTGATCTATCATTGCAACAAGAGGCCCTTCTATATGCTCACTAATTTGCCCTTTTTTTTCTAACGAGGTGTAAATAGGCATCAGTCAGTAAGCTGCAATCATTGTTAATTTTCAACCCAATTGTATGGTTAGTCAGGCATGTGTGCTCCAACAAAGCTGAATTTTCTCTATTGCTAAAGAAGACTGCTTTCTGATGCTCTTTTAAACATTTGCATCATTGCGTGGAATAGAATAAATAGCATCGGTTTGTTGTTCTTTCATAACAGGATCCTTAAGTTTGTCTGAAAAGGTTTTGAGCAAATTTAATGTTGTGGCTATTCAAAATTCTGTTGATGGGCTTCGTAACACCCTGGACATAACGAATAACGGCAAAACCAGTGGCTGCTTCCTTCTCAGCAGGAGTGTTACTAGTTGTAAATGGTTTCTGGCAGTTTGGGAGAAATGTTTTGGTTTAGCCATTTTCCTTTAGGATGTGGGAAACATTTTCTTTTCTTGACCTTGGAATCAAGTGAAGATAGTAGACAGTCAGCCTTCCTGAGTAAAGTTTTAGCTATAGACTTTTTATGGCAAATAGGGTGGTGAGAGTCAAAAGCAAGATATTTGTCAGTGTGGGTTGCTTTACAATAATTACACTGTCTTGTTACTAATTTCTCCAGGCTAATTTTGTTAGAGAGAAAATTATTGAGTGCTTGTTAGGGGGGAAAGGGGCAACACAAATAGGAAAAGGGCTACAATTACAAAATCAAACCATTGCTAACATTTTTTTCCAAAATTTGTTTGTAGAGGGAATTCAGAAGCTGAAAAAGGAGGGAATAAAACTTGCTCAGTGCGTACTGAAAATATGAATGTTTACATAGAGTACTGTGATCACGAAACAACAATACCTATGCCCGGTATTTACAGCTGCAGTGAGATCCAAAGAAATTAATTTTTGGGAATTGCCAAAAAAGCTTCGGAAACGGTTTCTCGGAAGGTTTGTGAAACTTAGTGTAAATGTAGATGTTAACTAATTTTTCTGTTTTTGAAAAAGGTTTTATGCATTTTGGTATTGAAAGGTGCTTGTGGATGCAAGCTTGTCTGGTAGTGGAATTAATGCTAACTTAACTGTTCTTTCACATAAATCAGAAAAGTACAGGATTATAGTTTTACTGTTACAGTTAAATCACTTATAATTTTTTAACAGTTTATCTCAAGTGAGAATCAAGAGTAAAATGTTACTCCATCATGATGATTGTGCTTAAATATATATTGTCTCCAGTGCTGACCATAGCAATTAGTAATCCACTGCTTTGAGGCAACCTCTGCTTAGCACTTGTACTTCTTCTTTGCAACTTACATATTATATACATTGCATCAAAAGAAAATGGTCAAATAACCTATTTTTGGTGTATAATTTTCCATGAATGAGCTTAACTATGGAGAATGTCAATAAAACTGCATTGTATTAATTTACTATTGTGCAACCAATACCAAATATGTACCACAACTGAAAAGGAGGGTGTCTGGCAGAGACGACCAAAGTATAAATTGAGACTTTTGCATGTTCTGTGCTACATTTCAGTTGTTATGGGTTTATTGGCTCGTTTAAAACATTCCAGTAATTATCAAGAAAGTTTTAACATAAAATGACAGGACACTTTTTGTTTGTTGGTTGGGTTGTCTGTTGCTTTGTAGCCAGACCTTTAATCAAGGAAACTTTTTCACAAAAAGGGGTTTTCCAAGAGGACTTCGAAGAATAAGACTAAAATATATACATAAAATTAAAAGGAAAAAATCATAATAACAAGTTGCAAACATGTGACTTGAATGTATTAATATTAGTAGATTCTCTTATTGCCTGGCTGAGTGGGTTAAAGTCATTTACACCATCACATGCACTTCTTTGTTTCCCCCAGTTATTCTTATCGCTGGCGAGTCTAAGATTAGCTTTATATCTTTTGTTGTAATTATGTTGCTGTTGCTGTGTTACTAAAGTCAATTCATGGTCTGTAAGTCCATTTAGACATTTGTATACATGCACACATCTTCACTCGAAAGCCTTTTTTCTAATGTATGTTTCCAGAAAATATCCGTACCCCCCACGGATGGTTTTTTTTCCAGTTTGACCCCCCACCCGAATGGATTTTCCGTTCCAGAGGGCTTCGCGTTACTCCCCCACCCCCTGGAATTTCCATGATTTTTTCCACTTGGTTCCCCATACCCCTTGGAAATTCCAAATCCAAAAAAAGAGGCTTACTTAATTTATTTTGATCTACTTAGAGCTGTAATAAAAATTTATTCCTCCTAAAAGCGACCGTGGAAATTCTAGACATATTCACGGACGCGGTAAATGTTCAAACTAACAACTGAGCTTATTTAACACTTTAATGTCCTGGCAGCTGACCTTTTCACTGTTCAATTGAAAGAAGTTTTTATTCAAAAATCCAAAAGAAGTACTGAAAGTTGACGATCTTTTAAGTGTATCTCGTATACGTTTGAATTTATGCGTAGTCAAAACAACATCGTCAAATTACGTTGCGCACACAAACTATTTACTACATACTTATTTTTGCTGTCACAGCGACACTCGGGAAAATACCTCAATGCTAATCTCTAAGATATTTTTGTATGTTGCAGGTGTAGTTTCTATCTACAGTAGAGTAGAACCGTCTGTTTATATTATTTTCTCGTGCCTCCTTACCGTGGTCTGTTAAATATCAACAAAGTATCGCGTAGCAATAAAATCACGCACCGTAAAATTATAATGAAAACTCCAACTGGTTATTTGTCACATATTTAAAACCAAATTTCAAGCGAACGAGAAACCAAGCCAGTGAAATTAATGAGCCAGTGAAAGTGCGCGAAGAGAGAAAACACGCACTTCCACTCGAACTCATTTCCACTCGATCGCTCAATACATCGACTCATCCTCGGTGTAAAAACCTGTCAAACTCACGGATGACGTAAAACAAAGAAAATAAAAGCACCAAGAGGCATTAAACAATAACCAGACCCCAGCACGAGCTAATGAAACAAGGAAAAAATATCACAGGTTTTTAAACAGAGATAAACTCTTTACATCTCAAGGGGAGATGACAAAACGCGGAGCCCTACTCCATGGAGTACCCTTAAGAGTACCTTAATGGAGTACCCCTAAAAGTCATGTATTGGTCAAATAAAATATTTTATAAACATGGTAAATCGTTTAGATGTACATATCCTAAAATATTTTGAGCTTACCGGCTCTCCGAATGTCACAGTTCGATACAATCCAGTTTTTTGGGGGACAGGTGACTAGGGCTATCAGTCTTACTGGTTCCTCCCTTTTGGTTTTACCGCTGGGTAATGTGTCCTTTGATGGGAAAACAAAAAACTCCATGTGATGAACAAAACCCACTGTTTCGAGTTCTGCACGAGGTAAAATATTTAAGCTTACTACATTTCCTAAATCAATGGCCCCAGTCGGATTTATTTGCCGACCCGTCACTGTTTTTTTTTTTGGTTTTTTTACATACCTCAATATTATTACGCGACAAATAGATGGGTGAGGAGAAGCTCAGTTTAAAGATATGGATTACCTTTTTTAAGTCTCAACCTGCAAATGTAAGCTTGTATCCTCATGGCTTCGCACAATTAAAAAACCCATGAGGCCTTGTGTTATTAAATGGAGCGCCACACCTCTTACAGACGCCACACTTAAACAGGTATTTTGAAAGGCGTAAAACCCTTTGCAGAATGAAGGATGCCCGTCCTATTGGCCTCTTGAAGATCATATGAAAATAGATTGAAGTCGGCCTATTAACGATAACGTTCATGGATGCTAGCTACATTAAAGCTTTCCGTTGGAAGTGGTCAGCAGTTTAATGTTAATTTCAAGATGGCGGTGAATTCGTGTACTACATCGAACTGCGACAGTCGGAGAGCTGTCAAGCTCAAAATTTATCAGGATATGTACATCTAAACGATTCACCATGTTCATAAAGTATTTTATTTGACTATTGTCATCTCCCCATCTCAGGGAACTGGAAATGATATTTTTCAAGCCGGCCATTTTGTTTGACTTCGCGTCGAATGTACTGCTCAGTAGAGTCTCTCAGTGGTAATCTGTGTCGTCCCATGCCGGAATAATAGTGGAAAATAGATGACAAGGAATCTTACGTTTGTTTCAACGGATAGAATTTTCAATTTTTCTTGGTTACCTTGAATCAATTGGAAAAGTACGTAAGTGTTGTATTCGATCGCATTTCAAACCCTCTGGGAAAAAAAGCTCTTTATGTACCCCCTTCCCCTTCGGAAATTTTCCTCTTTTACACCCCTCTACCCCTTGGAATTTCTGTGACCCTCCGTGGGGGGGAGGGTATGGATATTTTCTGGAACCATACAATGATATCCACTTCTGCGCAAAAAAGCTCTTCTAGGAGCTGTTAATTTTTATGGCATTCTTGCTAGTTTGCTATACAGACTTAAATATTTTCGATGGATGGTGTTAATTATAGCAAATTTAATTTACTGCTTGTATCCCAGATGTTCTCACAGATAAGCCACACCCTTGATTTGTTATGAACATTTTTTTGGAGAAAGGTGCAGCTTGTACACCAGCTTTTGCTGCAGTTAGAGGGTGCTACCTTCTAAATCTATATATCATATTTAAAGATGACAAGGGCTTCTGGAGTTTTTGCATCTTGGAAAAGCTTGGAATGGTTCAGTGAAAGTGTTAATTATAAAAGGGTGAATAACATGGCTTAGCATGAATGATCTTCAGCAGAACTATTGTGGTTGACAAGAGGTTGTCAAAAATCAGTTAAAATTTTGTGTTATGAATTAATAAGAAATAAGGACGTTCCAAAAATCGGTATTTTCAAATTGAAATCCGCCATCTTTGTTATGACGAAACTATGACGTAGCAATAGTCAAGCATGCTAAATTGTAATCCCTGCTGAAGTAGATGTAAACAACTGAGGAAAATATTCTTGTTTTTCTCGTTGCCATGTTCCCACCAATAACGTAGCTCCATTTTCTGCCTTTAAAAGCACACACAACCCACAATTCCTCTATTCGCTCCGACGAAGGGCTAACGTTCGAAACGTCAGCGTTTGTAATCGTTACGGTGGCCAATTCGCCATTTCAACTTTGTTGATATATCCAAATTATCTCGTTACTCCCACCGACGCAGCCCCAAACAGTTTCTTTCGAAACTATCAGCCTTTGTTCATGAGGAAAATAGCGGCGAGGAGAGCGCCACTTGTTAAATTCTTGACTTGGATTTTAATCTTGCCGAGAGGGTGTCATACATCCATTTATGTTTCAAACGAAACATGGGTCGTCTTAAGTAGAAGAAGATGCCTCTGTCGAGAAAGGGAGAGGAAGTCAGTAAAATGAGTTACGAGAAGAAATGTTGACCCGCTCAGTCACTCACGTATTGGAAATCGCGAGTGGTTCTCTTGCGGCAACTGTCAAAAGAAACCCACGAAGAACGAGAATGTATGGTCCTAAGAATTAAATGTACTAAGCTGTGGAGTGATAATTATTTTGTTAAAGAAGACCGCAGTACCCGCAACAGATTCATTTCACATTGAAACCTCTGAATGAGACGAATTATTTTTGCAGTTACAGGAACCCAGCTTCGGTGCAGGACTGAACACAAGCCATTTGGAACTAAGAAGAGCCCCAGTTGGCTTGCAACAAGTTAGAAATGATAGACTTGAAGATCATACTTCGTATGGATAAACAACGACAAAATTGATCAGAAACAGTTAGTTGCCAAAGTTAACGCAGAAGTTAATTGTTTCGAATTAGATTTTGTTTGTTTCAGCATTTACCTTTAATTTGCAATGGTTTTTTTTTTATCTTTATTGCTTAGGAATAGCTTCAACGCAGTATTTTTCATTCCAAAGTGTTAAAATGTCGCGACTGGTGCGAATTGGAGCTGTGTTAGTTTTGACGCACGCCAGAAAGTCGCCTCTGTCGTACAGTGTTTACATTAGAAATTGCCTCAATATAGCTGAAGCTAAAATGAAACATTCCTGTTCTTTTAAAATCATAAGCACTACATAATTACGTCAAGTAGTTGGTTGGAAGACATGAAATATTTTCATATTATTTTTATCGTGTCCAATCGATATGATATATAGTGAACTATGGGCGCCTCCCTAACGAAGGATAATTTGTATTTGTCGCATAGGTGTCTTGATCATTTTCCGGCAATGTCATTTAGTTTTGTTTTCGCAGGAGAATGCGACTGATAGGGTAAAGAAAATTTACTCGGTGGACTTCTAACAGACCTAGGAAAGACAAGATATATTTATACACTACTTGGAAAAGCGCACGATAGTGAAAATCGGATTTGGTCAAGGGTAACGACAGAGAATTGACCACACACTGTGTACCACTATTTCGAGCTTCAATTTATTCGTTTACAATAAAATCATTTGAAAAAATTCATATGATAAATAACCGAAATTTGTGTTGAATATGGAAAAGGTAAGCATAGCTTTCAGTTTGAAGCGAAGGTCAACAAGGAAAACTTACATACCTGTATATCTCGCTGGAAGTCTTAGTTTTTCAGGGTTTGGCAAGCCGTCCTCGCGGGTTATTTTTGCCGGCTAACTTTTCTTTAATATTTCACTTTCCGGTAGCTTGTGGAGGCTTACACATTTTCTTTTTGAATTTTGGTTTTTATTTTGATATTCAACCACACAACAGCTCACCTCATTTCAATTATTAGGAGTATTAACAACTGTTTTCACAAAGGGGAAACTGATTGACAAGGACAAAGCGCCGAACAAAATTTGCCTATTGCTACGTCACAACTGACGTAATATCCAAGATGGCGTTTTTCTAACCGCGAAAGTTGTAAAAATGGGCAACTTCAAAGCGTTTTTGTCGCTAATACAAAGCAAACTGGAAAAATGGCAGTTATTTTCGAACTCCTGAGGAAAAAGTCTTTCAATTGAGATAAACTTTTTCTAGACCGTACTTTCCCTTTAAAACGCTTTTAGCTCAAGTGAATAGCCAGTTAGGACAATGCAAGCAAGGAACTTTTGATATAAGCAAACTTTTTCTAGAATGTATTTTCCCTTGAATTATACATGGCCTTTGATTGTGTTGTTTGATTTTCTGGTTGAGAGTATGTCTTGACTATGTACTCATTTAAACCCCAGCAAACAAGTAAACATTTCATCGCCCTCAGTGACTGGCTTTGAAAAAACCAGAGTCTACTGTTGCACTTGTGCACCCTGATTGGTTTCCATTTTCAAGTTAGCCTTGTTTTATGGTAATCGGGGGTCTTGAAAATTCATGGCAGGTACCTTTTTTCCCCTCTAGTGAACAAGCTACAAAATCTTTCCAGCATTGAGATCCTTAAAACCGACACAAATATTTCCAGTGAGTCACCACCTCTATTGTCATGGTTTGGCCAAATGCACTTGTTTGGTTAATGTAAATGCCGTCAGTGTAACATTGATTTTTTCCTTTATTTTTTCATGTAGTAAAATTTGTATGTGAGGCACGTTTCCAGAAAAGGAAATGGTTAGTGGATAGCGATAAACGTTGACAGAATTGCAATTACAATTTGGACATGTCAAGTGACTCGGTGCCTCAAGAGCTAAACTCTGGCCTGGAAGCTGGGGTAGCAATTCCTGAAGAAAAAGAATGTGCTGTGTCTCTGCTAACAAAAGAGGACAATAAGGAATCTCTTGAAGGTATTCCTAACTCTCAAAACAAAAAGAAGAACAAGCGCAAAAAGAGGAAGAAGAGGAAGGGAGAGACCGAGACCAGTGACATCGACCCTCATGGATGTAATGCTGAAGCTGGAAACACTGGGCCACATCCGAAATCTTTTCAAAATGAGCAAGGCGAAGATGAGAGTGGCTTGCATTCAGGGGACATGGGTTCTCTGATTAAAGAAAGTGAAGAAGTCGTTGTACCACCAAGGGAAGCTTCCGGAAGTAAAAAGAAGAAAAGGAAAAAGAGCAAAGAAAGTGTCACTAGTGCGGTCTGTGAGGAGGAGGATCTGAAGACCAACAATGCCTTGAAACAACAAGCTGAGAAACGAGCTGATACTTCTCTGAAGGATAGGTCAGGTGTTGCAGAGGACATGGGTTTCCCGATTGAAGAAATTGGTGAAGTCGTTATAGCACCAAGGGAAGCTTCCGGAAGTAAAAAGAAAAAAAGGAAAAAGAGCAAAGAAAGTGTCACTAGTGCGGTCTGTGAGGAGGAGGATCTGAAGACCAACAATGCCTTGAAACAACAAGCTGAGAAACGAGCTGATACTTCTCTGAAGGATAGGTCAGGTGTTGCAGAGGACATGGGTTTCCCGATTGAAGAAATTGGTGAAGTCGTTGTAGCACCAAGGGAAGCTTCCGGAAGTAAAAAGAAAAAGAGCAAAGAAAGTGTGACTAGCGCGATCTGTGAGGAGGAGGATCTGACGAGCAAGAATGCCTTGAAACAACAGGTCGAGAAACAAGATGATGCTTCTTCGAAGGATGGGTCAGGCGTTACAGAGGAAATGGGTTCTCCGATTGAAGAAAGTGAAGAAGTTGTTGTAGTACCAAGGGAAGCTTCCGGAAGTAAAAAGAAGAAGAAAAAAAAAAAGAAAAAGAACAAAGAAAGTGTGACTAGCGCGGTCTGTGAGGAGGATCTGACGATCAACAATGCCTTGAAACAACAGGCCGAGAAACAAGATGATACTTCTTTGAAGGATGGGTCAGTTGTTGAGGCGAAGAGAGGAGGACAAGAAGGTGAAGCCAATAGTGAAACACTGATAGAAGGTAATGATTCAGTCAGCAAAAGGATAGAAAGTAAGGATCAAGATGAGGTTACAGCATCGGGTGGAGATGAGAAAACTGCCATTGTGCCACGCAAAGAGTGTGAAACTTGTATTCCAAAAAATAAAGACGAAAAAGCTAAAGCTGATTGCGAAACAACCATTGAAACGTGTGGCAGTGTATCTGAAGATGGATTAGCTCCGCCTAGATATCCAAGTCTAGCCGCAGAGCACAAGGACAAAGTAGGAGGAGAGGGAGGGGGAGAAATAGAAGAAAGGGAAGAGAAAGAAGAAGAAAAAGAGAGTGTTGAAACTGACTCTGATGATGACCCCTCTGGCATCGCATCAGGAAATGAGGAGTAAGTATTTAATAGTTACATTTGAGAATTTTGAGTGGAGCACACGCCTACATTGTTGGATAAAAAAGATAACCGAATCCAATTCTCAGTAATAAGTCACCAGCGAGGATAGAGAACATGGGTAGTTCTAGGTTATGTCCATCATGTTCTTGACGGTGGCTTTCAATTAAGGGTTCGCCACATTATCAACATGTACCTTAAACCTTCCTTTTCGGATTGTCTGCGTTATATAGGATGTTTCTTCGAGTTAAAATTTTTACCTAGTCATAGAAAAATATTTTTCTTTTCGACCAAAAGTGTTCCTGTGTGTGATCGTTTTTGCGAAAGTTGGGTAAGCTCAGAAAAGTTTGAGCTTTTCAATTCCATGGAAATATTTCCTCGCTAAATGCCAAAATGGAACTTTCTAATTTTTCTTCAAAGGTAGGACCTCCAGCAGAACTTACATTTCTTCGTTAGGAATCTTTACTGCCTAACTGCTATTTTAAGCGAAAAATGAGAGATCAAGTTTTCGATTGTTGCTTTCCTTGCCTCGATATATAGACTTCGTGCCTCTTAACTTTCTTCAGGAGGAACATACTGTGTATTTTCAAGCTTATCTATGGGGTTGGTCTTCGAACACTAAGGAAGCTGTTCATGGACTTCAATCCCGGTTGGTCTGATAAGCCAACTGACGCAGCTGGATTTGATAAATGGAAAATGAAGCTCTCTAGAGATGATGAAGTCATCTTCAACAAGGGTAACATAAATGAATGGGATTTCTCACTGATGACAACTGTGCTCCTATATTCAAAGAGCTGTGCACTGGAAATTAGCAAAAGACCAGGCTTCGACAAAGCTCTACAAGAATTAAAGACTTGTCGTAACAAGGTGTTGGGACATCCCTCTTCAGAAAGGATGCTCGATGCAGACTTTAATGTATACTGGCCTCTTCTTACCAATCTCTTTGGTACTCTTGGTGCTGATCCAACTGAGATTGCAGAGATAAAGCTTCAAACAGGTACTTTCAATCAAAAGTCAAATCGATTTAACGTTCGCATATCCGGCTGCTGCCTCATGCAGGCAAAAGTATTTAATTCTGACCGACGTGAAGAGGTCATTGTAACTTCAGGTGTCCAAAACAATCTACCGTTAAAAATCCAGTCAATCCACGTTAAGGCGGTAACAGATCTTTACAGTGGGCATTTCTCTTAATGCTGGAAGCTGAATATAAACAAACAACTGTGGAACTATTCGCTTAAAGCTAACCACTCTTTGGAGTATAATTCTTTGCTCCATTCCCAAAGTTTTCACCTTTTATCTAAAACGTATATGGTTTATTCACAGTTGTTGTTTAGGAGGAAGAGATCTTCGTATTATAGCCTCGTTAAGCGACAACATCAATAAGGCTCGAGGTACCAAAACTGTGAGCTGAAAAAGAAAGAAGAAACAGAACTTTGCAAAAACATGAAGTAGAAATTATAAATCCGTTGTTTTAATTTTGGCTGAAGACTTTCTTTGATGTTATAAAAAGAGCAAATGTAGAGATTGTTAAAAAAAACTCGTTATCTTTTTTACGTTTCGTGTCACTTGTTCCTTTAGATGAAGCTCTCAACGCAGGAGGGCACTACAAGCAGTTGTTCTTAACGGAGAAAGCGAAATTCACTCTTTTTGGACAGAAGCTGGATACCATAGATAGTAAACTGGATGCTATACTTGCTAATCAGCCTTATAACTCTGAGGAAAAAACTCCTGTTAGTCCAAAAACTCTAAGTGGCCGCAACTGGGACCAATGGTTGAAGTTCTGTGACGCAGTTGGTGATTTTGACACACGGAAGAACCAGTACATTCTTGTTACCAGTGCTCTGTCACCAAAGAATCTCGACTGCTTTTCTATTTTGAGGTGTGTCCCATGGAAGATGGTCCTTGATTTTGACCCTATGTCCGAAGAGAAAGGCTTTTATCGAGAGTTCACCTCACAAGAAGGAAAGGGTAGTTTGGTCAGCATGATAACACCTGCGGAGGTCAAGGGAAGTACCATGGCAAACCTCATACGACAGATCGATCCCAATAAAATCCAATGGTTATTTGTCAATGGGAGAGCCAGTGACACAGCTGGCGATGTAGAGACATTTTCAGATTGGGAGGCAACCTCCGTCAAAGAAATCTCGCGAATTTTTGGATGCTGCTGTGACCCAGACAAATTTGACAAGCAGAAACCCGTAATATGCGTTATCCTTCCTTACAGCCAAGAAAGCATTCCATATTTGGAAGTAACATTGTGTCGACTGTTTGAGAACTTCAACGATCAATTTAATCTGAAGATTGCGTCTTTCAAGCAAGAAAAACGACTCTCTGTGTTTATGAAGGTCAAGGTGCGCACGGTTGATTTGAGTCCAGAGCTTGTCCATCTGGGTTTGAAAGAATTGCTTTGTGGACCTTCATCACAGCGGTACCGAATGCCTACTTCTCAGGCAAAGGTTTATGCAGACCTTAGTGAGAGAGATTACCTTTTTCTAAAGGAAAACCTAGACATCCTTTACCTCGGCTGTGAAGAGCTACCAGAAACATCAAACGACCCATCAGGGGAAGAACAACGATTGCAGAACTTCCTGGATGAACACAAAAAACTATTCATTTCAGGCAGTGAGATTTCGTTTGCTAGTCTTTATGATAATCATGATGCAAAGAGGGAAATTGAAAGGGATATTCAGGTCCATGTCCAACGCCTTCTAGACAAAGGTCTAACTCGTTCCATGATTGTTGACATCAAGCATTCACCAGGCACTGGTGGCACTACTATCGCCCGGCGCGTAATGTGGGATCTTCACAAATTTTATCCGTGTGCTTTCACGGAAATACGCTCGCATCTCTACTTTGATGAAGACAGCAGTTATGCTTGCAAATTAGCTGATCGCATCGGAGCACTGGAGGAGATCTGCCACACTTCTCCCGTCGTTCTAATTGATGGGAATCAGTCAAGGCTCATAGAAGGTCTCTCAAATAAACTTGTGCGGATGCTGTGCAACAGAGGAAAGCGGGCCCTTCTCTTACGCTGCCAGCACGGGTCGAAGACCTCATCCAAAGACCCTCAAGAGCTTTCACGGGTTCACCAGGTGTTCTACGTAGATGTCAGCCTGGAAGAATCACCGGCCGACTTAAATGAGTTTCAGTCAAAATACAAGGAATTTGTCGAGCGTTCAGTGTCAGGTCTGTGTCGCGTGTTCCACTTTCCTCTCCTTGCAATGGTCCAAAGTTTTCGGCCAAAACTTAAGAAGATAGTTGACGACACTTGGAACGAAATGGAGAGTCTTCAACGTCAAATTGCTATCGTGGTAGCCCTTCTTCAAAAGTACGGCAACCAAGCAACCCCTGCCCTCCTCCTTTACGATGCATTTCAGAGATATATCCGACCGGAATGTGGGAAAAATGTCACCTACAGCGATATCAAACAGTTGTTTTCTGAGCACTTATTGAACCTGATGGTACCTTCAAACCCTTGGCTGGGTATGCGACGAGGAAGAAAGTATTCCTCTAAAGAATTACCGCCAGAAGAATACACATTTCAGCATCGACTGGTTGCTGAGATGCTGCTGAAGAAGTGTTTTCAAGAGCAAGCCGGTGACTTGTTCCAGGTGGTAAATCAGTTTCTTCACTTTCCAATTTTCCAGCGTGACGACTTCTTGCCACTCTTTGAAGAGCTGTTTGTCTTCAACAAAGAAGGTCAAAGGGTGCGGAAATTCTCTGTCCTCTTTGAAGAACTCAAAGCTATAAACCCTGAACGTGCTGCAGACGTTTTCTGTGAGGTAGCTGAGAAGACTGGTGACTCAATAATATTTGCCAATGCAGCTAGATTTTTTGCGAAGATGGAGCCCCCCTTATTTGAGAAAGCTATGGAACTCATTGGACGTGCCTTTCAAGCGAAAAACTTCAAGCAGCGATTCAAGAGCATATGCCATATGAAAGGGGTGGTTATGTATTTTGAACTGCAGCACAGGATCAACAATGGCATTGTGAAAGACCTGATAGAACTTGAAGATTTGGCAAACAGAGTGCTTGAGGTGTACAGGGAGGCTCGTACCTTTCCTCCGACGTACCCAAATCCCCTTATTGGTGAGGTAGACGTTTGGCTTGCTTGTATAAAATGGATCACGAAAAACATATGCAGGCGGGATTCCGAGAGAACACTCAAGTTCTTAGCCAATCAATGTCCACCGTTCTTTCGCACCTGTGTGAGTGATTCGTTTTACCTACTCGACATTGTTGATGGAATTGTCCAAAGTGTACCAACCTTGGCAGATCCAGCAGAAACGCAAAGGAAATGCAGCGATGCAAGGTTATCTTTGATAACCATGCTTGGACCAAATTATTCACGTGGACCAACTAGTTCACGTGGACGCATTGCAGATGACGTTGTTCAAGTGTGTCAGGCACTTTGCAGTTCCAAGAATTTTCCAAGATCATCTGCCGTAGAGCTTAAGAGACTTCAAGCTCATTTTATTTTGAATTCAAGCGATCAAATCGTCACTTTGAAGCAAGATCACCTCGTATTCCTTCTTCAGCTTCTAGAGGAACTTGTATTTAAGGAGAATGAGCACCGATTGGCCTACCACTTAATGAAGGTCTGTGTGTTGGTGAATGGTTCTAAGCGTTACAGCCTCGAGCAGGGTCTCAGTGTGACCGAAAAGTGGTTGGAGGTCTCGCATCATGGTTGTCTTCCCTACTTCTACCAAATGGCTATTTGCTTTCTAAAGATTCTTGATGGCCATGCCATGGAATTCATGCCAAAGTACTTGACGGCTTTGAATATGTGCCGAGAGAAATCTCAGAATCACTGTCGCAGCAGCCAGTCAACGTTATTTGTCAGTAACGAGGGGGAAGGAATGCCTCGCCTCCTCACTCGCAGCACCTTGTTCCGTGACGTCGAGGAAACAGACTACTCTACAACTGATATCTCTGAAACAGTTTCAAGGTTTTGGTCTTCCGATAGTAGGAAGAAATTGATGGAATGCAAAGGAAGGATCCGCATGGAGCCCTCTGGTAATCGAGGCAAAACTTATCCCTATATTGAACTGCTACAAGGAAAAGTAACCCTCTACGTGGGAAAGAATGCAGATATCGGCAAGGTTGATAGAAACTTTGATAAGGGTCAGTTGGTCTATTTTGTTGTCAGTTTCAACCTTCACGGACCTGTTGCTAATGGAATAACGTTCTCCCCATATGATTCGTCACGCCATTTGAATAGTACAGATCATTGACATCCCTTTGCGATTGTATATTAATTTGGAACATGCTGAATAGAGAGGACAAGCGAAGTTTGCTTCTTACTGTCGTGAGCATATTCTCGTTTTTCCCCCCTTTCTTCCTTATTTCTCTACCAAATATAAATCATCCATCGAGCTTCAACTCTTCCCCTCGAATCAAAACCAATTCTTCTACATCAACGCGTTCAAGAACTAGTTGTGATACTGAAGGTTCGTATCTTGATTTGCCACACTCCACCTTAACGATGATGATGTTTAGTGTATATTGTTTTGGTAATGACCTTCGCGAAATTGAATAGAGCATGGACTGGACATTAAATCGATTGTTCACCGCTTAACTCCTTGCCACTAGTAAGAAGACTTGAAATAAGTGCACCTGCAACAGAGATAACGTCTGAATTAAAGGGAATCAAAGTATCACGCCAAAGCCGTTAAATCTCAATTCAAGAAACTGATGGTAAATCATCGCGTGAAAACCTCGTATTGCAAAAGCCTCATTGAGAAGAACAAAGGCGATTCATCCGAGGGAAATAGCACATTCAAGTCTCTCCTAGCTTTCTCTAATTCAATCGAACGGAATCCGAAAGACAGATCCTTTAATAGTCAATTACTTTACCTTTAAAAACCCACCTTTTATCAGTGGGAATGAGCTAGCTTCGAAATTTCAGCCGCTTTTCGGGCGGAGTGAGAAACGTTTCCACGATCCCTTCTTCCGAATAGCTCATCAAACAGCTTCCTCCCTCAACTGAACCGGTCAATGATCTCTTTTTTTTAAGCAGCGACGAACTGCCTGTCAAGGTGTGTGAAGGTTTTCAAAAGACTCATCTGTGTGTTCAGCTCTGGTATTTGCTGACATTTGCTTCAATCTCTGTTGAGTGAAGCGACTTCCCTGCACTTTGGAAAAACGGCGAGGTATCGGTCCTCAGTTCTGGCGTCCTCTTTGCAAGGAAAAATTCCAAGCTAACAACGTAAATATATCAGTGTAATAGTTATTTGTTTTAGTATTTTTAGAAATTCAACATGTATATTACTTTGACAAAAAAGCAAAAAGGCAATTTTCGCATCCGCAGAGTACAAATGTACTTTTTCGAAAAAAAAAGTCAAACGATCATCATTTTCATGGTTGTTTTTGTCGCTGCTCCTGAGATATTCAAATTGTTGACGTTGTATAATTATCTTTGAAAGGTTTCTCTTCCTCTGCATTTCCTTATGAAGCTATGAAATTCACGGTTAGTATCACAATTATCTTAAAAATATTTCTTTTTTGAGTAATGCCGCAGATGATATTATAGTATAATTACTTTTTTAACGTTATCATAATTTGAATTTTTTTCTCTGAAAATATAGTTGTTTCTCCGTGACTTGCCCCTACTGAAGGGAGATCGAAAATTCCTGGAATCTTCGAAGTCAGTTTGTAGAGTGAAGTTCCATTTGATTATATCGATTTTCTAACAATGAGGCCTTTTGGAGAACTTTTACCTATACGTATCAAAGAATTGAACTGTTTCATTTTTAGACGTCAGGCTAGTTAACTTTTGGATTTGAACTTATTAGGAAGATAGTCAGGTATTGCAAACGTACAGGAAAATTTGACCTTTTGTGAACAAGTTGCCCTCTATATTCTTTTAATATGTTTGCTAAATCAGTGTTTTGCTCTCATGTACAGAGGCTAGAATAATTTTTTACAGTGGTATTTTAATGCGTGGTGAAAATGCGATCTCGGGGTTTACGTATCGGATGATTTGACTTTGAGCCATCATGTAAATGAACAGACAGGCAGAGCTAATAAATTGTTGGGATACATCAAGTGAAATAATCGAACTGTAGTCGAAATCCGCAACCAAACGAGATTCGCACTTTTACTAGCGATTCGCTAAAGGCAAATATACATAAACGAGTTAAATATACAGAACAGGAAAGCAAACGAAAAACAAATAAAACAGGCAAAATGACGGACAAAATAACGAAACTTACAAGATTATGTGGCGACTAAGACGACTAAAACATAGTGACAACGGCGACAAGAAAACTACAGCAGAAGAAGCTATACCAAACAGTAGAAACAATGCATCAAAAATGAACACGAAAATATGAAATGTGACGTAACCAAAATGACTGGCAAACCTAATAAAATAACAAATATACACGGAACAACTGAAAACGGAAAACAATGTACAAAGGACGTGAATGTAAAACGAAGGTGAGGCGCCGTGACTACACGAACTATACAAGATACAACCTTACGACGCTTAATGTACTTGACACTGGTCCGGCCGATGTTCGGTTACGCCTCGCAAATAGGCAATTTCCGAATTACTTTTGGCCTCTTTTTCAAAACGAGGCCTGGTGCTCAATCATTCTTGTGGAAATGAGTTTAATTTGCCTGTGAATGAAAACTTATAATCATTTGAAAGGATGAGCACCAGGACTCGTTTTGAAAATGAGGCCAAGGGTAATTCGGAAATGGGCTATTTGGGCACCCCAATCCGTGAATCTCATCTCTTGTATTGAGAGAACGCAAAGGCGCGCAACTAGATATTCTGAAATTGCCCTTTTTGAGCCCTGTTCCTTATATGGAAAGATTGAAATCGTTGAAGTTGCTTCCCATTCTTGATATGGTATTTTTCTTTAAACTGACCCACGGCCTTGTTAAAGTAGATAGCAACATTGTTCCCCGTATTCCACCTAACGGAAGAAACACAAGATCGAACACTAATGTCATCAAATATACAGTCAGTAGATATAGAACTTCAACATTTCATAAATCTTTTCTTATCAGATCTACGCGAATTTGGAACGCACTTGCCGATGAACTTGAGCTTAATATGGACAGTATCTATTCTTTTATGGCTACTATGAGGGGATACTATGATTCCGCCCTTAGTGGCACCTACGATGTTAATAACCCCCGTTCGTTCAAAACTGTATGTCTCAAGTGTAATCGTTGTAGAAGTCTTGCTATGCCCGTTACATGCATGTATTTTTAGTTTTTTTTAGTTTTTGTTTTTGTTTATATTTTTTTTTTCTAGTCGGTTTTTTCTTTTTCAGGGCCCGCAGTAACTGGCTACCCGCTGTTGCGGTTCCCCTGCCAAACTTTTTAGTGGAGAAGTTAATAGATAAATAAATAAAAAATAAATCTAACTTCAACGTAGGGACTAGAGGAGTTGTGTGTAGACTGCATTATCAATGGCAGCGTCTTGCTGATTGATAGTCAATGCATGCGATCAGGGTTTGCGTCTGTGGAATCCTATCCTCAAGAGGAAAACCGTATAGAGTAATTAGTATGGGATTACCCCTAGCTTTGATAAGCTGAACTGTATATGCATTGTACGGGAGCTTTCCGACCTTACTTCTAACGGAAAGCTCCGTTTGCCTGCCATTTTTTCTGCACATACCGGAGAGATCTAAATAGAGCCGTGTTGCGATTGCTTTCATCCTTGGTAAATCAACAAGATCGAGTGACGTTGCCGTGAACTGTTGGCTTAGAAGTAGGTTGGAAATACAGTCACAAACGACCCCTCAGTTTCCTATATAATTTACGCATTGTCATCAGGTCTTGATGACCTTGTGGTAGGTTTTTTTAGTGGAATGTAAAAATTTGTGACTCCACTCGAAGATAAAAGACCAGGCATTATCCTGTCAATAAACTTCTGTTTTACTAGTCGAGCCATTTCACTACTTTCTTCGAGGTCTTTGACGCCTTCATTTTCCTTCATGTTTGTTACCAATATCTGCTAATATTTTCAATTCAATTTTATCCCAACGTATTTTTCACGATTTATCGATGAGATAATTTATTTCTGTGCGCCCATTCAAAAGTAAGTTTAACCAGGTGGAAGTCAAAACATCTCAACTCGAGTTAGTGTTGAATGCCTCGTCACTTACGATGCAAATTTCCTTCTGCCCTGACGGTTCTGAGTTTATCGTATTTCCCACGCTCTAGCTTATCATCGTCACTCCAAATGGTGGCGAATAATAAATGGTTCAGACGAGGGGAGGAAGCGCGGTAAATCCAGGACTTTCAGAGAGGAGCATAATGGCATCTTTGTTCTAAAGGAGAGTTTGTCTTATTTAAGAATGTATTTCTTTTCACTTTTTATTTTTGGTCAGTTCTGTCATTGTTTCTCCCTGTTTTTTGGTAAACTTTGAGAAATCCTGAAACGTAATGACACTGATACAATACTGATACATGTCCCGAAAGTGATGTTTTAATTAACCTCTAGATAATCTTTTATGAGGCAACTGTTTCCTTGGTATTACACTCATGGTGTTCAATCTTGTCTTGCAATACCCCATACCCC